GAGAGAGAGAGAGAGAGAGAGAGAGAGAGAGAGAGAGAGAGAGAGAGAGAGAGAGAGAGAGAGAGAGACTAAAACAATCACTATAACTGTATAGTGGAACTCGGCACAAAATAATTTGAAATTTTTACCCGAATGGGAACCAGAGAGAGAACTGAGAAGCCTGGCCTGCGGATGGGTTCCATCAAACAACTCTGCCAAGTCATTCAGCGCAGTCTGGAAGTAGGCAAACTGTCCAAACACCACTAGGAAACAAGGAGGGTGAGGTGGGACAAAGTCTTATAAAGAGTAAAGAGGACCTTGTGCACACACACTAATTATCCCCCCGAAGATCATAGTTTCAGGAGTCTCATAAAAATGAGCACAAATCAGGGGCTGGAGAGATGGCTCAGTGGTTAAACACACTTGTCCTTGTAGAGGACACGGATTAGATTCCCTGCACCCAGACAGTGACTCAGCTGTCTATAACTCCAGTTCCAGGGAACCTGACGCCCTCTTTTGGCTCCTGCAGGCAAAGCACACATCTGGAGCACAGTCATAACCACAGGCAAAGACTCCCGCACATAAAATATAATAAATTGTAACAAAGTAAAAACAACCCTACAAACTTATTTTCTGTGTTTCCTGAGTTTTCAGTGATTAAAACAGTTTTATTTCATTTTTTGTTCTTTTAATATTGAAAAGGAATTATTTTATGAACTTGAATATTGACATATTTTAATATAGCATTCAAATAATCTAAAAATATTTATGAAGACATTCTGCTTTTTTAATGATTAGTTGTATTTTGTTCCATGAAAATTAGCTATGTTTGAACCAAGCTCCATGATACTTTGATAAGGAATTAGAAACTTATTAGCATCCCTTGTTCATGTTGGCATACTGTCTAAGGAACAGGCATTTATTTAAAATCCCATTTCAGGGATTTCTGTGGGTTATTCTATACATTTTTTTTTAAAAAATCTTTTAGGATATGAAACTGGTATATACTGCCTTCAAGCAAAACATGGTAACATTGGGTGTATTTCAAATTAAATCAATATTTATATATTAAAATTGATGAAATAAAAGAGCTTTGCAATATTTTGTGGAGCTAGTAATTTAGTATTGACATATAAGCCAGAAACAAATTATCCTTTATTTGTTTATGTATGAGGACCCAAAGGTTATTCTAAATAATAACAATCAGGGGACTGAGATACGCACTCTGCTAAGGAAAAAAATTCTAGCAGAAGAAAATTAGTGTGCTAGTAAGCATAATGGAGGCTGTTTATTATGAGGGTATGTGTGAAGATGCAGACACACATGGTACAGTACAGATATAAACACACACACACACACACACACACACACACACACACACACACACACTCTGGAGCTAGCTTTTGGAGATGTAGCCTTTTAGAGAGCATCACAAGGCAAGCCTGTAGACTAAGTAGGTTTTCCTCAGTAGATGAGACCCACTAAAGACCTTGTGCTTCAGAGGTCCCAGCAGGAGCCACATCTCACCTCACCCATGTTCAGCCTCCCCTTCCCCCCGACCCCCAACTACCACCTCCCCAGTGAACTGAATCTTTTTATATTGGATGCCCACAGCTCCAGTTTCCTGATTATGAGAAGAGTGAGTCACGTGTGCCTGAGTTCTATTTTCTGTCAAAAATTCTTTGGGAGCATGAATGTGACAATGAAACTACACCAGTCCTAAAGAACTCCTAAACACAATTTGTGGCTATCCGCCCAAGAGTACAGCAGGCTCTGTAGCAAACACGTCTATAATATCATCAGGATTAGGACACTCAGGTCACCTAGGGAAGGCCATGGCATGTCTCCTGACTAGCATTCCTAAATCAAGCTCTCTACCTAGGTGAGTAAATCATCTGCAGAGAGAAGAAAGCTGTGCAGCTGTAAACTTCAGCAAAGGTGTGTTACAACCCCACCTCGGTGATGTCTCAGGGAGAAGATGAGTGTAGTACTTATGCAGCTGGGGTCGTTAAATCCTTATATCTGTGTGTTAACATGCTACATAAGGAAATTCTTGTAGCAAACATAAGTAGCAACACTGGGAAGATGATACTCTGGCTGGTTGACTTTGGAAATGGCTGTGAAGGCCTGAGGCAGCAGCATCTTCCAGACCTAGAACAGCCAGAGCTGAACACACTCTGAACACATGTACATCATTCAACAGGGATGCAGGAGTGGGAGGAAGCATCACTCAGTGACTGGATCAGACTCATGTTGTATAAAGGGAGGTCTGGGCTCCTTTTGGATTCAAAGACTCAGGATCTACAATGACCTTTTTCATATTTTGTAAGGTTTATTGTTATTTCTTTAAATGTGTGTCTATGTGTCAGTATATGTACAGGAGGGCAGGTGCTTGTGGAAGTCAGAGGTGTCGGAGCCCCTCAAACTGGAGTATTCTCAAGCACAAATACACAGAGACACACAGATGCACACAATTTAAAATAATAGAAAATCTTAATTTTTTTATTTCAAGTGCATTCTTACATTGAAATAAATGTATTAAATTTCTGTGGAGGCGGGTGACTGTTGATTTAACATAAAGGGAAATTGTGGGCCTGTAGCCTTTAACCTCCCCTTTTGATTGACCATCGAGGAAAATGGAAATAGATTGTAAGAGCATAAAAGATATTGTCTGGATTCCCCCAGGGAAGAATCACATAATATTCATCTTCTGGCTGAGAGCCAGGGAGAACGTCACATAAGGTAATGCAAGACGACCAGAACCGCTTTGCACATCTCAAAGTCTCAAGAATGGTGAGTCCACCTGTCAGCTGTGTAGGGGTGTGTTGAGGTTTGGTCTGTTGGTACATACTGTAACACTAAATACCGACCTCCAAGGCCTGGTTGCTCCCAGCGATAAGGAGATTTCATGTAGACCTTAGTGATGCTATGCAATCTTGCCCTTCCTCTAAGCTATCCCTGATTGCTGAATAAAGATACCTACAGCCTAGAGCTGGTCAGATGAGAGATAGGTGGAGTTTCAGTTCCCAGGCTTGGGGTCTGAGAGAGCAGGAGGAGGAGATGTGAAGGGGGTAGAGAGAGGAAAAGATGTCATGGTTTAGGTGAATCATAAAAACATGGCCATATCTCAGGGTTATTAGAGAAGTTGGCATAATAGCACAATGGGTAGAGATCTGCCCAGCTATAGTGCCTGAAAGGCTTCATTTGGGTCTTTTGTCTGAGAACTGAATTATCAAAGGCAGGGTAGAGACCTACCATTAATATCAAATATTTACTACAACAGAGATATGACTTACACTCTTGAACTACATGTGCCTTCCTGTCTAACATTCAAAACAACTGACTTTAAATCCATTTCTGGACATAGCGTCGGATGGGGCAACATTAATGGCTGAAATACAACAGCACTCTAGGGGTAAGCATCAGCACATGGCACCCCTTTGGTAGAAGAGCATCATGGAACACTATACTGTGTGTTTAGTAATATCATTTCTTTTGTATTATTTTGTCCTAATTTTACCAAACAGATAAATTAGCTATCTCTAAAGCATGTGCCAATGAGTTAGAGACAATAGCAATTTCTTACCAAATTCCTTTGGTACCGTGATGGAGTAGATGCAAATCTGGCCAGCTGTGTAGTTATGAGGGTAGTTCGGTGACAAAACTACCCCCTCCGAGCCCATGTATTGGCCTCCACAGGGTGCTGCAAAGAGAGCCAGGCAAGAATGGTGAGCTTTGTGTACGAAGATGATGATGCTGGTGACAGGTAAGCACAGGTCTAAACACTCACAACCCACTCATCTCATAACAAACACAAGCATCCATGCCAGCAGCTGCCCTGCACTGTCAGCAGGGCCACGGGAACACGGAGCCAGAGACACAGAAACAAAAGCTTTGACTCAAAAAAGACTGATGTTATTATTAAGACCTGTCTAAGGCATGTTCAAATAATAATGAAAATAGCTATACTACTACTAGCTATACTGTATATATGTATGTGTTTACATGTATGTGGGTATACACATGTATGTCTATATGCATGCACATATGCATGTATATATGTGTGTATATGAGTGTATGTGTTTGTATGTGAGTATATGCATGTGGATGAGTGTGTGCATGTATGATATATATGTGTGTATGTATGCATGCATGTTTATGTGAATATGTGCATATGTGTGGATATATGTATGCATGTATGTGTGTGTGTGCATTTGTATATATATGCAAGTATCTTGTGAATGTGAGTATATACATGTATATTATATACATCTATGCATACATGACTATATATGTATATTTATATATATATGTGTGCACGTGTCTATATATATGCATGTGTACATAATAATGTGTGTATATATACATTTGTGTATATGTATGTGTGTAGGTGTGTATCCACTCATGTGCATGTATGTATGATGAGGTTGTATGAACCTTTTCTTTCTAATAACCTTATTAACATTGGTGTTTCTTTTCTGGGTAAACTGGGAAAACTTTTTTGCTCACATGTAAAGCTCTTTTCAAACATCCTTGCACTGGGATCAAATTTCGCCCCAATTACTGTTCAGGTTGTGAGTTAAGTCCCAACATGGCATCTTGTATGTGATATCAGGACTGGCACCTGATCCTCCATCCAACTATGACTGGGGACCAAAGCACCAGGGTTGAGCATTATATACCCCCTGGCATTTCCTGATATCCTGTATCACTTGATGGCCCTTTTTCTTTGGGGCATCAACACTGAATTAAATTCACAGTTGCTTCTAGAATATGAGACAGTTCAATTTCTTTCTAAGATCTTTGCTTCTTTTTATTATAAATATTGGTGAATACTTCAATGTGTAAGTTAATGAGTTTCACCACATGAACACACCAGACATGGTGCTTTGACTGAAATACCCCCTCTTCTTCCCTTTTTTTCTCCCTCCCTCATTTTCTCCTGGCCTCCTTCCCACTCACTATATTATTACAGTCCATTTATTCTTGATATGGCAATTTTCAAGCAGTTAAAACACAGGAAATTAAAGATAGCATGTTTAATCGGTTCAGTGCCAATTAGCACACTATTAAAGTCCTAATGGACAAACAGGACATTTTCCATGATTAATAAACTCTGTAGGATGTGGTAATGCTAACTGGGAAGGTACTTGCGACTGGTTGGTTGAGACAGTTAATGATTGTTGGGAGACTGTACCCAATCCTGCATTATTGTGACTTGGCAGGCTCACCTCTTTACCTCAGGACAAAAGCTCATTTATCTGACAGCTTTAACACATTCAGGGCCAGCCAGGAAAGGCTTAATGAACTTAAACAAACCACAGTGACTTCTGACATCATATTGCAGAGTAGTTTTATATCCCAAAACATCTAGGATGACCATTGTGTTGGCTGGTTAATACAAGCCAGACTCATTTGGGAAGCGGAAACCAGTGGAAAATATGCCTCTATCAGATTGGTCTGAGGGAAAGCCTGTAGTGCATTTGCTTGACCAGTGATTTATGGGAGAGGGCACAGCTCCCTGTGGACAGTGTCACCTCTGGGAAGGTGGTCCTGGGTATAACAGAGTAGGCTGAGCAAGCCACAGGGAGCAAGCCAGTAAGTAGCGTTCCTCCATGCCCTTCGCTTCAGTTCCTGCATTCGGGTTCCTCCCCCGACTTTGCTCAAAGACAGAGTTTGAAGCTGAAATAACCATTTTCTCCTCAAGTTGCTTTTGATAGAGGCGTTCTAGTACAGTAAAAAGAAACCCTGCCTAAGATAACTATTTCACAATTTTAAAATGGAAATATTCATTCTTCTTTTAGATGGAGGATATTTCTGTAAATTAACCCCGAAGGAGAAGTTTCCATTGAGATACTGTAACTCAAGCCATCTATGTAGACAGGTCACTGTCTGTTTCTGCCTTAGATATGTCAGTTCAAACTGGCTATTCCAGAAAAAGTTCTGCTATTTTAAAAGCTTACCAAACAAAGTTCTAAAAATACGTATGAAGAATGGAAACCTATTTTATTTTAGCTTGGTCATATGAAATCCAATCAGCTCACTTTGCAAATAACACCATTCTTATATATCATCCAACTATATCACTTATCTACCTACCTGTCTGTTTATCTATTTGTCAGTCCACCCATCTATCCACCAAAATCCATCTATCATCTATCTATCTATCTATCTATCTATCTATCTATCTATCTATCTATCATCTATCTATCTATCTATCATCTATCTATCTATCTATCATCTATCTATCTATCTATGTATCATCTATCTATCTATCATCTATCTATCTATCTATCATCTATCTATCTATCTATCTATCTATCTATCTATCATCTATCTATCAATCTATCATCTATTGATTTATCATATATCTACCATCTATCTTATCTATCATCTATATTCCTCTCTTTATTGAGGAGCTTCTAGAGAATGCTATCATGTACCTCTTGTGTATAGATGAAAAATTGAACAAAACGGGCACAAAAGTTTCAAACTATGTGAATTAAATTAAAACATTGCTTGCTCAAGAAAAATAGGAACAGATAAGTGACTCAGTAATAACTGTCTAAGTGAGTGAGTCCCACCCTGGCTGGGCCTTATAGTCACGGAGAGTGAGACTGAATAGTTGGTAGAAGTAGGAAGAGAAACAGAGTCAGAAGTACCTTGGCAAGCAGGCAGTGCCTTGTCCCAGGATGGCTTCCCATCAGCCCCTGTCACACACTCAATGGATGAGGGATCCACGATTTTGTAACCAGAGTCGCATTGATAGGTAACTGTAGAGCCCAGCTTGAAGTCAGTTCCAATCCTCGTCCCATTCATTATGTTCCCAGGGTCAAAGCAAGCTTCCCGGGGCTTCTCTGAAGAAGAAGAAAGAACATGCGGCCATGGTTACATCTGCGCATAGTTATTTTCTTTATTTCCTTGCCTACTTCATTCAAGGCCTACCATGGTGTCCAGCATGGGAAAACTTCTTAGAAATATTTCCTCATCAACTAATGACCAAGTTAGCTTACTAGTTCACAGCAGGAATTTATTTTCCAATAAATTATATTTACTCTTTTAATGAATGGCTGACCCCCTGCATACTGTTTTTTTTCCTGCGGAATAAATGCTCAGTTTGCTTTTGCATACTAAAAAAAAGACATTTTTATTACAGGGTGATATAAAATTATTTTCATGTAAGCAAAGACAGGGTGTTTTGTGATATGCCTTTTATAGCTTGTTGAGGGTCTAATTGGTGTGCATTTTAAAACAGATTGAAAAAAATTTGAGGCTCATTTTCCAGCTGGCTCCTGACTCATCCCAATGTGAAATTGTTGCACATCTTTCAAAAACTGATAATTTGGCTTTGCTAGATGAAAACTGGGGCATTCCCTGAAAATCTCTTGTACCTTTTCATGGCGATGCAGATAGACTCAGGTTAGAAACTCAGAAAGCATTCTGAATTACGGTTCATGGGGCTGGTACATTGAAGACTGTCAAAGTTAGCAGAAAAATGACATCTGATTGACAAGTGTCAAATACTACATCTGGCGCATGACAGCTTCCCCGTGACTTTATCTTAATTGCAATAACTGCATTTGCTAGCTCTATGAGGCCATGCCACATGCCAGACTGAGGTGAGCTGAATGCCAATTATTACCAACCTTCTTCAATGTAAGTGGTGACAGTCTGAAGTTCAGATCAAGGCGGGACACTCACAAGGGCACACAAGTGTGCACTACTGATTACTGTGACTACTGACTGCAGGGCTCAGTGTTGGTGCCACATAAGATCTGTCTGCACGATCAGATTTTGTTGCTATTCCACCAACCTTAGTTCTTTCTGCTTCAATGGGTCATTCAAAATATCAACATATCAATCAACATCTATCTGTGATCACAAGGTCTGTGAAATTTTTGACTTGAGTCTTGCTTTGCTTGTTAAACATATCTTCATTCTTCACCTCCCCATGAGAGAGGGCCTAGTTGGGCCAAACTTCCCAGACTTCCCCAGTGGGTGTTACAGAAGACAGAGGACACTACTCAGCTCTATGTTATAGTCTTCTCTTTGGTAGTGTAGGAGGGCTGGTGGGGTAGTGAGTTGAATAGTACTAGTTTAGGCTCTGGGATAACTCCAAAGCATACTTTGGGTTTGAAAACCATGTCTCCATGAAACAGTTTGTAAATGCTAATTATTTGATCTACTCCAGAAAGACAAGTGCCAATCATACATGCAAGGAGGGTTGTGGCATACAAATGCTACACTGAATTCCATTTTGTATTTTTGTTCTGGGATCAATATTGGTGATGTTATTTTTATTTCTTCTTGGGCATAGTCAACATGTTGTTCATCATTTAATTTTGCAATTTCATGATTTAATCTCAGGAGGTAGAGTGTTATAGAGATGGTTAGGTGTGCAAGAGAAAGGATGGAGTAGGTTCAGAGATAACCCCCAGGGCATGAATGACATGCAAGTACTGGGAAAGAAAAATATCAAACAAATATCTCATCTTGGCGAGTCCTATAGGAAGCGCCAGAGGCTCGTCTCACTGTTGTATTCATTAGTTTTCAATATTTTCATTTAGATTTTTAACACTCTGTGGATCAATATCAGCAAAAAGGAGATCTCCCTGATAAACATTCTCCAAATCTATATAATATGTTGTAGCTGAATGCACTATATTCACGGAGTCTGTTATGTGATAATTTATTAAATTTAGCAAACTAATTCATTTTTATATATTTTGGTCAATAACATTGATTTATCTGAAACTGTTTTTCTGGTATCCATGGTCTCTCATCAAGCAGTTCATAAGCAGAGACCAGTGTCTCTAGACATTTCATTGATAGCTTATTTGGATATTTCAAATCATAGCTGATAGTCTCGTAATTATTTATAGTAGTTTTGAACCCTATGTAGATCATTGAATATTTAAACAAATAAAGAGCCAGAAAATAAATAAAACTGTCTGTTTTTAGTCATTTGCTTATATACATCAAAGTCGTCCTATTTCATTGCTTATTGAGTCAGTCAAGACAACGGACAAGCACAGATTTATTTGCAAGTATCATCCTTGCCTCATTAAAAAATGTACCTTTCCTGTTATGTTAATCAGTGTAGAGCCACAGCCTTGCCTTTCTTTCTGATTATCTTTTGCTATAAATCTCTTTCAGACCCGTGTGTGGCATGGTACTACATGGCTTACACACCTCTCTATTCCATGCCACTGACTGAGTTGGGTAGCTGGTTAGCCTTCAAATGACTGCATCTGATCATTTGGTTCCACTTACTGATTGTCAGTTCTGTGTGCTCAGTGATAAATCACAGAACTGTCTCTGCTTACATTTTGCTGTTTTTTTTTCTAATTAGATGGCTTCAGAGCTCTGTGTATTTCTTTGTTGTTCTTGTCCATTCCACTTAGAAATACCTTTGCAAACTCCTGCTCTGTATAGCAAATTGGTACAACCTGGCATGGCTACACATGGTGTGGCTGGCCTGAGACCCCTGCTGGCCCATTGCATCTAGCAATAGTCTCTGCAGTCTGCTGCAATCACTCTGAGATTGCTTGCCCTTGACAGTGTAGTGACACTAGTTCTGTTAACCCCTGGGGAGTCTTTCCCACTGACCTCAGGAAAATGTTTCAAACATTAAAAGCTACAAATATTCAATTAAAGGATGAATATTTGGAATGAATAAGCCTAGAGAGGCCATACTCATTTCTAGTTATTCATATTATAACTTTATATGTCTTGCACTTAGTGACTTGATTAACTGTTTGGGCTGTAGCTATGGTAGGTCAGGAACAGGTTTGGTGAGGGTGATCTAGAGTGTTGATGACACATGTGTTATCATATGTGGTGCATATGTGTAAGGGCCATTCTCCTCCCTCCAAATGCAGCTGTTTCTACCCCAAAGGCACAGCACAACTGCTTGATTTTTACCATATGTTTTAAGAAAGACCCTTACATTTATGGATTTTGAGATTTTAAGCATTTTTTTTTTAACTTAGAGCCATTTGGAGAAATACAAATCTATTAAAATGGTGACTAAAATAAAACATACTTTCATTTTATTTTATAATTTTCACAACAAATTAAATTTAACCATTTCAATAAATGCAATTATTTAATTTATCTGCTCACTTAGTCTTACCAAAATCCTCATTACTAGTGATAATACCAGGCTCAATTCTCTCTAATTAATTATTGGTGTATCTTAATCGGTCCCTCCCCTCATTCACACATGAATTCATATTGCATAATGGTATTTGTTTTCATGGAATCTAGATCAAAGAACTTGAGGCAGGGTGTTTTTGTGTGTGGCTGTTTTCCTTAGAGTTCAATAAATCCCAAAGCGCTCATAGGTGTTGAATCTGAGTATCTGAGACATGAGTTATCTGCCTGGGCCAGAGCTTCTCATCTAGTCTTTGTCTAGGAGTGAGGAAGACACAGAGGGTGATGGGTATCATCCCAATGCGGAGACTGAGGCAAGACTATCTCAGGGAATTTAAGTCTAAGCATCCTAAGGAAACAAATCATAAAATGATAACACATATCAAATGTTTCTCAGATGTCATCAAATCAGTTATTACACATGTCATAATCTACCCTCAGATGAAAATGTACAAACCAAAACCATTCTCCACTTTCTCTTATTTTACATCAGAGATAGAAATATTTTTAACACGTGAAAAGTGGGGTTGGCTCTCTTCTTCAGAAAGACCCCTCCTCCCATACACACATATGCTACTCACCTATACAGGTCAGGAACATGTGTGTTTGACATATAGGATCTTATAAAGAAACACTGACAGAAGAAGCAGCCCCTGACACCAGTTAACTTCCCCACAAATCCATCGCACCACATACCTTTAAATTCAATGGCGAACCCCGATAGGCCAACAGAAGCATCACTCCTGAATGCCAGGAAGAGGCTGTTACCACTGCTCTCTATCCTCTCTGGGGCTTGAGAGCCCTGGAAGCTTCCAATCAGTGGGCTGTTGGAGTCCTCCCCTTCATAGATATGCAGGAAGTCGTAACTCGGCTCCATGCTAAAACTACAAGGACAGAGGGTGTCACCTATGTTCCCAACACAAACTCATCTTATGTCTTAGACCAAGTTTCTCGAACACATTACAGTTTAGTTTCCTTTTGTATACTAATTTAAATGATTAAAGTAATCAAAAATAAATATAACACTAATCAACATGCTAAATTAGAAGTCTCATTTCTCATAATCTCTATCAGTGCTTTGTATAATGGCCAATATATCCAATAGTAGACAATCTTGAATGGAGTTAAAATGAAACAAATAATAGTAGCACGGGGATATCACCCCTTCCTCTTCCCATGAACTTATTAAATAAGGACAACTTGGAAGAAGCCAGATATAAAAGAGACAGATTCTCTCTGAATCTTGAATACTAGGTGAGTATTTTGAGATTTAAAATATATGTACTGGGTACTGATGTATATTATAAATGTTAAAAATTTCAAACCTCTCATTGATTTGTTTTTACATTGACGACTGTAATTATCATTGTTTCCTTAGGTAAGGGGGTCAATGGTTACAGTTTCTGCATGGGCAGAGCACAAACATTCCCTATTGTGTTACCATATTGAATATTCCAACCAATCTTTCTGTTATTCCTCTCCCCTCTCCCTCCTTCCCACAGTCTGTGTTTCTTTCTTTCCTTCTTTCTTTTCTTTTCTAATATTAACATCTAGTCCACATTAAGACTTTTATTATCTGCTCTCAAAGGTCACAATGATGTCACTGTTGATTTTAATAAAAAAATATATTTGTAAATTTATAAAATTTGTAAATTTAAATTTAATTTGCAAGTTTGCTTGACATGAAGAAGGAGGAGCAGAGGTCCAAAGCTCAGGCATTTGGTGTAATCACAAATGCTATGTTTGATTTTACTGGAAGAATAATTTTAGTCATGCTCATTTTCATGGATAATTCTAGAATCTGCTCCTGTATCATCGTCAGTGTCTAGCAAAGAGGATTATGGTCATAATTACCCACTGAACACTGAAATTCAATCAGTCATGGAAAATGAAAAAAAAATTTGTGCTGAATCTCTTTTTGGTCATACAATAGTTTTGACATAGAGTCCTGGTGCTTAATTTATAATTAATTCCAGTTTCCTTTGAATAATCAGGCTTATTTCCAATTATCATAACGTTATAGATCTAGAAACCTTAGTAACTTCCACAGGTTTAACACAGTCTATGTAGTGAGCTTTGAGTCCCTGCGAATCAGCATTACCATACAGTCTACAGGGACAGTGATAAGCCTTGTTCCCCATAGTCAACAAAACCAGCATACACTTCCCAGGGGTTCTAGAATGCTCTCCTCCAATTTTCTAGTGTCAGATTCTCATCATCCCACAAGAAAACATCAGAATTCAGTCTTCTGATAAGTCCTCTGAAGACTGTGTGGCTGATGTCCATACATGGAGGGCTTACCAGTGTGCCTTAGATTCTTTCTGTTTGAGCATCCTTGTCCCCACACACCATTCTGGCTACATCCCTCCCACCATTTGGATTCTGTGACAGTGACAGCATGGTGCTCATCTTAACACAGAGGTCTAAAGATCAGGGAAGCTGTCTGAATGCAGAACTAAACAGATGTGCAACAAGCTAATGGTTCTCAGAACCCAAGAGTTTGGGGATTATCAGTGTTGTATATCTTTCAGAGAGGTGTGTAAAGCACAGCAAGGAATAGTCCTTACTGACTATCGAATGAACTGTTCCTTTGTGTCTTTGATCACTGGTCATTGCCACAGGGGATGTGTGAAACTGAATAATGAGGCTCCTCTTGGATTCAATGGTCATTTCACTCTTTTTCTCCAGGAATCAGATGGACATCCAGGTTTTAAGGAAGGGCTACCAAACTGTGCAATGAACAATTGCATGGCTGTCTCCGCCAGTGCAGGCTCACTCATTCTGCATGTTGGCCAAGTGTTTTGAAAGTATTTGTTCTTTTGATCATTAGTAGAAGTATTTTCAGGAGAAGGTGCTCGACTACTGACCTATGTAGAATCTCAGACGCATAAATAAGTTATACTTAATCACAGTGAGGGAGGCCAGAGCCTGTGAGGGGCTGGGCGATGGCTCAAAAGCCCTAGGCAAGGAGCCTGTACCCTGGCAGAGAAATCAAATATCTAGGTTCCTTTGTTCTGATGGGTTAGGAGTCTAGCTAACAACCACCACCTTTCAGATATTTAGTTTTCAGAACATCACATCTATTTACACTTTTTAAAAAGTCAAAGGATTGTTATTAGATAAGATCTCAATATTCACTAAAATTTAGTTACCATATAGTACACACTGATGTGATGGTATATTACTGTATAAATTATTTTCCCTCACAGTGAACAATTGCCTGATAGAAGCAAACAAAGGAAGAAATGATATATTTTTGGCTCCTAATCCAGTCGCTATATTTCATAAGAGTGGGAAGGAATGGCTGCTTACTCTCTACCCATGTAGGCAAGAGGTTTTACCTGGCTCACTTATATCTTGGTGTCTCACAAAAAGCCTAGCTGTAAGCAGGGCTATGATACAACTCCTGACCCAAGCTCTACCTATATGACTATGTCTATGAATGAGACCTCATGTTCAGAAGATTCTAAATAATCAGCACCATCATCTGGCACCCAAGAGTTCAGACAGCAGAAGCAGAGGGCATTTCATGTTTAAGCCATAACCACAATGGAATTGACTTGAGCAAATCCTTACGGTACTGAATTTTATCATCTAGTGTAGCAGGGATGGATGACCATTTCTTAGACACTGATATGAAGAATCTTCTGTTTGTATCTCTGCTTCATCCCAACAGTTTTAATGACGGAAACAACATTGCCCTGCAGACCGCCAGGCAGAGAAAGCATGCTGGGGAAAAGACCCAGCCTCTGCAGACTGCAGCAAACAGCATGTTAAGATTGTATTCTCGCTAGCATCCATGGTATGTTTTTAACCACTGGTCTGAAGCCTTCATGTACAAAACACACCATGAGCAAGATGGGTAGTGCATGAAAGAAATCCATGTGTGTCTTTCATGTAGAATGCTGCCTAGAAAGGCAAGGTCTCTCTTCTCCTGCCATCCTACCTCTGACTGGGTATCTGAGCTGAAGATTCACTACCTGTAAAGTTGGATACTCTGAGGTAACAAATGTGGTAAGCCAGGTATGGCATTAAAATCCTACTAAAAAGAGGTAGTTGGTAGCACACATACCTTTTGAATATCAAGGCAATGACAAAGTCCGGGTTCACCTTAACTCTCCAGTCACACTCCTTCCCAGGAGGATATGGCTGTGGGTAGTTTGGAGATAAAATCACTCCAGCAGGGCCCGTCAGATTCCCACCACAAGCAGCTGTCACAGAACAAAGTCACAGGGGAATTTTTTTTTTTTTAAGCAGAGATCCAAAATACCAAACACAGGGAGGTAATTCTTTTTAGAAAGGGTGCAATTGTCCACATTTCTAACAAAGACAGATTTTACCTACAAATTCGGAGACAAGTTAATAAAGCCCACTTAGTCTGTACCTTTCCATGTGATCCTTGAGAAATTTAGATTATACAGCCTTCCAGTTTTAGAGAAAAACTTCAAATATCCCCCACCTCTCTCTCACTCTCACGCCCTCTCATCTATCTATCTATCTATCTATCAAGCTATCTATCAACTTTCTACTAACCTATCTATTTTTGAGAGGTTGACCCTGCAACCACCATGATTTTCATTCCTCTCAAATATAAGGATTATAGTTATGAGCCTAAACCTCCAGCTATGCTAAACTGAATCTACTGAACCCTCACACCTTCTACATATGCAAGCACACATATGTGCATGTATGTACTCAAACACAAAACTTGATATAAACTCCTTCATGAATGTCACCACATGATCCCAATAATTCTAAAGATTTTCTTTGTATAAATAAAATTAAAGAAAGTGCGGAAGGATGTGGTCCACAATTTTCACTATTGACTGGACTTTCAACAGTCACTTAACATTCCTGAAAATCCAATTTCTCAAAATGAGAAGTGCAGTAAAATCATCATGTTTTGTGTGCTAAAGTCAATCTGAATGGCCCAGGAGTACATTCAAGTTATATGAGACATGGTGACAGAATATAAAGCCCTATGTCTGTCTGCTGGTAGGAAGTTCCATCTTAATAACAATATAATCATCATCATGTGGTCCCTTCAGACCTCTCATTGTGAGTCTTTCCCCTGCACTGAGAATGAATGCTTACCGCATCTGGCAGAAGAACCTGGATCTGATAGGGCAGCCTTATTGCTGTAGAGTGTGGAGGGGCCTGAAAGCTGAGAAGATTCTAGTCCATGCAGAGCTTCCAAGATGAAAAGTGACAGATTTGGGCCACTGTCTCAGAGGGGTGCTCAGACTATGATTCAAATATTGACTTGAAAGAAACAACAGGGAATCTGGTTCCTCCTGCTGGTCCCAGAAGCTCCGGGGAAACGAGGGTGTTAACACTGAGTAGGGTGTTAAGTAGCACTGTTGTGGTATGCTTGCTCTCTCAGAGTCTGGAATCCTTCATTTTAGTTTCATTAGGTTTTAATTAGAGAGCTCATACAACCTTTCAGACACTATTAGAGTTTAGAAGATGCATTTCAGAGACTCTAGAAAGTCTACCCTGGGTTGCATGGATATACTCAATGCATGCATGCATGCATGCACATGTCAGCTTCCCCCCCATGAAACTTGTGTTCAGCACTTGACTTTAAAAAGACAACCGACATCTCTTCACAAAATACTGCAAGACTCCCATCATGGAGTGAGACACTGAGGCTTGAGTTATCCTGAGGGTGAGGGCCAGCTCCAGCTAGCCAATAGCCTGTACAGATCTAAGCTGTATGGACACTTTTTGAAGATCCATAGAATTTGAACTCTAGCGAAAGACACTAAGCAAAGTAAAACTGGAGAGTTTCAAGGGACATGACATTCTATTTCCATTATCAAAGTTAGTATGGAGACTTCATCTCTTAAGACTCAGCTATTTTGCTGAAGAGAAGGCTCACAGATAAAGCGTACAGTTTGCTAGGATGAGGACTGAAATTTGCTCTCCCAGTACTCATGCACAAAGCTAAGCATGGGCTATGAATAACTGTAACCATAATGATGCTGTGCGAGGGTGGAGATACGTGAATTTCAGGACTTGCTGTCAAGTCTGACTAGCCAAACTGGTGAGCTTCAGGCTCAGAGAGAGACTCTGTCTCAAACAGTAAGATGGTTAAAGGAGACACCTGACATTGGTTTCTAGAATCCGCATGTACAAACATGCATAGGTAAGCACAAGCACACATATATGTATATAGCTATCCACCAACACATATATATATATATATATATAATGCAGACACATACACACACAGACGCACACATGTATATACATATAACAACCCATACACACATGTACACATACACACACAAAGCATACAAAGACACATACACAAAGACAGATACAGAGACACACATACAATACATGTGCATGTTTGTGGGCATGTGTGTGCACATGTGTACACACATACAAAGGAAGAGAGAGAGAGAGAGAGAGAGAGAGGGAGGGAGGGAGGGAGGGAGGGAGGGAGGGAGGGAGAGAGAGAGAGAGAGAGAGAGAGAGAGAGAACATAAGTTTAAAAGTTCCATTTTCATGGGGCCTTCAGAAAGAAAAAGAAGAGGGAGCAGATCTTAAGGAACTTTGCAGAAAATCTTAGAAAAGATGTGTCATGGGAAGCTGGCGGGGTGTTGGAAGAGCTAGTACACAAAGAGAAAGCAGAGCATATTGACGATGAAGAAAAGGGATAGGAAGTTACCTGGCCAGTCTACAACGCACAAATCACACAGCCAATCATGAAATGGAAAGGTAAGGCTCAGACCCCTATCTAACATATCTAACCTAAGATGTGAAGTAAAACAAGAAGAATGTATCTCCTTCTGCCCCAGACAATATGATTAAAAAACAATCCTGAGTTGTACTTTTCTGGTCAGAGAGAATAAACAAACATGGCTAATGACAAATGGAGTTCTGTAAATATTAAGATAGATTTGGGGGGAGCGTCTTAGAGAGAGAAGTCAGAAAAAATACACCATTCCACCACAGTCATCTGTGCTTTGTTATGTTGACTTCATAAGTGGGAAATTCCCTGTGCACTTGTACAAAGCATAATGGTCCCAGCACTGCTAGGCTGAACTGGGGAGCTACTGGACAATGTAGATGGCATCAAAAGAAAGGAGCTGTGCTCAGAGACACCCCACAGTCACTCAAAAGCTGGTGGATAACAAGAAACAGCACCCAAACACCTTGTACTGTTAAGTTGGTGTCCAGTCAGGAGATGTTTAAAATTATTGTAAAGCAAAATATGTATGTGTGCTTATGAATTTTTTTGGTGTATTTTTATATTAATAGCAAGTAGCTCCAGGTAAAAGAAAACAGCTTTTCTCACTTGTTGCTTTGTCATAGTTTATAAAGCACCTGCGATAAACACACATTATCTCCTAATAAGAAGCCATGGATTAAAAACATTGCCTCTTGCCGGGCGGTGGTGGCACACGCCTTTAATCCCGGCACTTGGGAGGCAGAGGCAGGTGGATTTCTGAGTTCGAGGCCAACCTGGTCTACAGAGTGAGTTCTAGGACAGCCAGGGCTACACAGAGAAACCCTGTCTTGAAAAAAAAAACAAAACAAAACAAAAAAACATTGCCTCTTGAGTAAAGGATTTATACAGGTGCTAGTGGAGAAAACTAAGGTATCACTCTGGGAATACACTGCAGGGGCCCCAACCATCATGTCTGAAAAGTGAAACTCACAGTGTAATGAAGAGCTAGCATCTGTCTTCCTGTCATATGACTTCTATGCATGTAGGCATATCTAGTTGCTCAAATACCTGGCTATTCAATTGCTGCAACTGATTTCCATTTGTCCTTGGAAGTGCAGTTTGAGACCAAGAAGGCCAATGAATGCCTTGTGATGAGCTTAGGGATTTTTAGTTCTTGCTCAAAACTAGGTAAGTGACAGTTATGTCAAAGGCTATGGAGTAGGTAGGAAAGGGGTCCAATTTTACAATTAGGTCTTGAATATAGAAATGATAAATTGCCTTTAAGAGGTTAATTTAAAGTTGCTTTTTTAAGAGTTTCTTCCTCCATGAGATTAAAAATATTAAACAACATAGACACACAAACAACACATATGCACCCACAACAATGCATAACACACACAACAACCATGTGGACACACAAAAACACAGGCACACAGATACACATACAATACACACTTAATACACACAACACAGACTCAACACATATAGATACACACACATAACACAGCTGAGCAGTAAAAGGCAGGAGGAGAAGCTCTATTTGCAGGGACTTTCACAAAGGGAAAAAAGAGATTCACAGTGACAGCTGTATTTACTCTATTATGAAAAATATTCAAAGCATCACAAGCCTCCTATTAATGGGGTGAGCATTGAAAGGCTGACCGTGCTCACAGCTGAGGGATATGAAGATACAGAGAAGGCTACTATACAGGGATAGCTTTTCTGGAGGCCAGACACTAATAACAGCACTTGAATCTCATCTGTCTTCAAGACCATGAAAGAGTCCCTCAATTCTCCACCACAGCCTTTTGTCACAGATCAATTGTATTCTACATTTTTCAAGCAGAATATCCAGAAGTACCAACTAAGCCAAATAGTTGGTTAAAAATAACATTTAGTTAAATTTCATTTTGTAATTATAATTAAATACTCCAAATAGGTATTTTATGTTAAAATATTCAACTGAATGAAGGGTAATTTACATGTAATTCCTGTTTTAGAAGAAAAAAATCTATTTTCCTAAAATCATATTTCTGAAAGATCATCTTAGATGTCTGTTATGACCATAGTTGACAAAGCCATTTGTTTCTACATTAATAAGTTGGATGGGGAATTTTAATTAGTGTTTTACATAATTTTATTATTTATCTTCATTTTCCCCAAAGGCAATATAATGTCTGCTTTTCAGGATTCTATCTAAAATGTACAGATGTTATAGAAAAACATACTTCTGAAAAGAGAAAGTGCTTTTCTTTAGTAGGTTTTGCTTGAAGGTGTGCTTTATATTAAAAAAATGTGGCCAGCAGCAGTAGGCTTATAAATTTTGAGCCACGTAAAATTTTAAGTCAGGATTGGTAGAAATATATTTACATAAGAACTATTAAGGACAAGAAATGTTAGATAAATGTCAATTACCGTACATTAAAGAAACCACATCCTTTATTTCATCTAATAAAATAAAGATTCGCAATAAAATTTTGGCATTGTCTCAGAGAGCCCAAGGCCATTTAAGAAGCTCCTGAAACATCCTCCTGAAGAAACAAAAGGTTAGCAGGCAGATTTGAAGCGTAGACTGCATTCATTTCCAAGCATGACATTTCCATTTCCCAGGCCCAGTACCTATGCATGAAGGAGGATCTGGCTGCCAGAAGAAGCGGTTGTTAAGCTGCACACAAGTGATCTTGGCTTGTCCTTGGAGTTGGTATCCAGGGTCACACTGGAAGGTGATGGTGTCTCCAGGTTCCCGGCTGTCACCATAGCGGGTACCATTCTGAGGCATCCCAGGATCATTGCAGGTGGATGCAATGGAAGCTGGAGAAGAGCAAAGAAGAGCTGCTCAGGTGACTGAGAACCAGGTATCCACACTTGCTGGGATGGCTGCTGCCTCTAGGGTAAAGCACTTAGTGTGGGTTTAGTGCTCCTTTCTGGGGAGCTTGAGAAAAGGAGTCTTTCCTTGTGGGAGGATTCAGTGCTATTCACTTTGCTTCTGCTCATGATGAATAATTTTGCCAAAATCTTATTGAAAGTTGGCCACATATGAAATCCTAAATATCAATCTTATATTATACTTAGTATATATTATCATATTAGTATACTTATCATATTATATACTTACCATATTATACGTAGTATATATTATACACACAGTCACCTCTAGCTTGCCCTTCAATAGTATTTTGAAATATCACAATTTAAATGATTTAATTAAAGAACTCTAGTCTCAACCTGGAGACTTCAAGTGCAATGGGAAGGTTTCCCTGATGTGACCTGTCACAGAGACTGCAGAAGTGGGCCAGGTGTCAGTCTTATCAGAGGCAACACAGAGCCACCAGCTACTACCTTCCAGGCAAAAGGATCAATTACGCATTTCTAAAGCTTTGTAATTTCGTCCCTTAGTCTTTAGAAAACACCAGAAGATATGTCCTTGGAAGAGAGAAGGAGGAGTGGAGAGGGAGAGCAGAAGGGAGAAAAGTGAGGGAAGTGGAGAGGTTGAAGAGAGAAGGGGAAGGAGAGGGGGAGGAAGGGAGGAAAGAAAGGAAAGGAGGCTTGGCAAAATTGCTCAGTGGGTTAAGTGCTATCTGTCCAAGTTTTTGGAACTACTTCTGTATACCCAGCACCCATGCAATAAGCCAGCTATGCTGTGGCACTCAACTACAACCCCAGTGCTGGGGAGTAGAGACAGGAGGATGGTTCTTCCCCATCTAGTCTAGACAAAAAGGTAGTTCCAGGTTCAATGAGTAGGCTTATCTCAATAAGTTAGTTATCCAATGCTAAACAATCAGCCCTGAAAACAGAAAAGTCATACTGATAACATTATTAAGATGGAGTAGGTGATATATATATATATATATATATATATATATATATATATATGCATATACATATTATATATACACATACATATATATGTATATGTGCTTGTCCAGCAGAGCAATAAACAGGGTCTGGGGAAATCACCTGAAAGAGAGAATGGGGGACACAGGTGAATGCAAAGAACCATGGCTTGTCCATAGGCTGATCAAACCATAATTGTTACCTTTTCACACAAGGGTTATATACACAAAAAGGCAGAATGTGGGGAAGAGGATGACGCAGGAGCGTAGGTGTTCAGGGGGAGTAGAGATATCTTCCAGAACAGGGTATCGGCTGCGTGAAGGTTCAGGGGATGGGTCACTATGACTCCACCTATGATTCACTTGTCCTTATCTAAGTTGGTATTATCCACCAAGGCTACCCAAGGTCTATGACTATCCCTAAGACCTATGACTACTTATTCTCATCCAGGCTGGTAAATTTCCACCAAAGCTGCCTGTTTGCAATATCTTATAGCTATCTGTTTCAGTGTTTTCCCACAGAGACCCAAGACTTTGTGTTAGCAGGCTGACTTAGGCCTATGGCTGATTTTAGGCCTTCAGTGTATAAGCAAGGCTGTCTCATTCATATATATATATATATATATATCCAGATATGCACACAAAAACAGAAAGAAAGAGAGAGAAAAAAGAGAGGGAAGAGGGAATAAGGACGTTAAAGGATTTCAACAAGTTCCTTGCAGGCTGCTCTGCACACTTGCAGAGGCTTCTGGAGTCAGAATATACTGGGCATGGTGTCCTGTTCCTGCTGTCAGTCATCAAAGCACACCCTTCAGATTATGTCATATGAGCAGCCTTCCTACTCAGTCTAGGGAAGAGAGATATACAGTAGCCAAAACTCACTCTACGGTTCTGGACCCATCATCATATGGAACTTGACAGCCCAAGGAAAGAGTGATTATGTCTTCCCATTTCTATAGCAGCCATGTGATCTGTGCTGTACTTAACATTAGGTGAGACATACAAAGACCCAAAATTGTTCCCCTATGGAGTCCTTTTGCCCTTGCTTCTGCCTAGGTGATGACAATGGATAATTAGTACTGTTGTGAGGAGGTAGGGTGAGTTGACACCTCCATTCAGGACACAGAGGGAACAAGAAACAGGCCTACACACCTGCCTCACCCTGTGGAGTTAATGAGCAGCCTTTACATTTGTTAGTGAATTTTGTAACCCCCTTGTGTATTTGTGTGTATACCATATTTATTATAAATATATTTATATTTATTCATGAGTAGTTAATAAATTCACCTAAATAAAAAGCTAGAAGATACATCTTTTTAAAAGAATGTGGAATATGGGATGGGTATAACACACTTACTAGTATACTTGCCTAACATGCACAATGACAGGTGTTCCATCCCCACCACCACACAAGCCCAGAATGACGGCAAATGCCTGGAATCCCAGCACTCTGAAGGTAATGGCAGGAGGACAAAATTTCAAAGTTTTCCTTGGCTACATAGTGAGTGTGAGGTCCTGAGCCAAATGAGATGCAAGAGACCTTGTCTCAAATGTGTAAAACTAAAACTAAAGACCAAGACCTACATGGATGAGGGGGTTTCCAAGCTGATGGAGAAGCACTGGGGTACAGCGGAGAGAAGAGTATATGTCCCTGTGCAATCACAGACAGGAGCCCTGAGGTACACACACATACACACTCACACGCTAAAATTCACACACACACACACACACACAGAGGGAGAAAGGGAGGGGAGGGAGGCACTAGAGCCAGCATCCGGGACCCCATGGAGGGCAGGACCCTATCAGATCAAAGCCCTGCTCAGTGGGATGCAGTTAGAGCACTAACTACTCACTAAAAGCAAGGCTAATAGCCAAATCTTCAGATGAGGTATGAGCAGAGGCACTGTGAGAAATGGCCTTCCTGCTGATCCTGTTTCCTTTTAGAGTCAGGGGAAGGCTACAAGTACCTGTCTTATGCCTCACTACCATTCTCTCACAGGGCCCCACTGAAATTGAGTCACAGGCTCCGGTGTATCTCCAGCATGGCAAGATGATCAGCACAGTGAAACTCCTCCTGCCTTTACACACACACCAACGGTGTCAGCACACAACCATGGCTATCCTTCTCAACGCTCTAGTAATAACTCTTCTGAATGTTCCTCTATAATTCTTTGCTTTCCTGGTTGATTGCTATTTCTGCCTTCTATTAATAAGTGCCCAGAAGGCTCAATGCTAAATGTTGTTACAAGTTCTGCATACAGACTCAGACCAACTCAACTGGAACATTCTCTTCCACTTTTCTCAGTGTTATACTTCTGAGGGTAATGTGTGGGGATGACATTCAGATTATTCATCTCTCTGCTATATAGTTCTCTCTCTCTCTCTCTCTCTCTCTCTCTCTCTCTCTCTCTCTCTCTCTCTTTTTCTCTCTCTCGTGTGTGTGTGTGTGTGTTTGTACACATTCATGTGTATGAGAGTATTTGTGCCCACATGTGGGATTAAAGAGGCCAGAGCTCATTGTCTACTTTAATTTTTGAGACATTTTTTTTCTCACTAAACACGTAGCCCACTTACTGATTAGATAGAGTGGCCAGCAAGCCTCTGGGAATCTTCCTATAATGGTTTGCAGGTGATGGGGTTACAGGCACTCAGCATCATGCCTATGCTTTTGTAGAGGTGCTAGGAATTGAACCCAGGTTCTCATTCTTGCTGTGTAGGTGCTTTACCTACTAAAACATCTCCTAATCCCACATGGCCATATCATAATCTCCTCATTCTCCTCTTAACTGTATATTTTTTTTTAAAAAAAATTGAAATCTCTTATCTTTCGGCTCATGGAAAGTAATAAAATCAAGTTATACACTTTCTTATTCTATGGAAAACTGGGGGCATTAAAAAAATCAATCAGATTAAAGTAAAACCAAGATCTAGCAGTACAAATAGTACAACATTTAGCATCTTGGTCTCACTCCTGAGATTCTGGGGCCCCAGATCTCCAGCTCTGCGCATTTGTAGCACAGACGCTTTGTCTTGTAGGATCAGGCTGGCTCCATTCCATACATGCTGCTATCCTTGTCAGTGTCTAATGGTCCTGGAATTTCCAATATCTTGGGTCTCCATTGCAACAGGTTGAAGCTTCACCAATGTGGATCTGAACTCTCTTCAGGGATCCTAATTCTGCTGTATGATGCCAAGCTTTCAGTCCTGGGTTCTCTACTGCAGCTGAGGCTACCCCTTTATCAATGGCCCCTGGTCCTTCTTCACGGATTTTAACTATGCCACACAGTGCCTGACCTTAGCCAGTCTCATTGTTCTTGTCAATGCTCTATCTATCAGGCTTTCAAGCACAGTGCAAAGTAGGAAGGCAATTCTTATATACTGGTAAGTTCAACTATCAGCTTGAACTTCAACTGTGACTTCCCTGGCCAAGAGCATCTATGTGCTGACTTCAAGGAACAACTTCAGAGAAGATTTTTACCCTAGGGATGCTGGTCTCCTGTAAATCCTAGCCCATGTTTCAGCCTTAGCTGACCAGAAACCACAGAGATTTTTTTCTTTTTTTCTTTATTCTCTCATATATTACATTCCAACCACAGTTTCTATTTCCTCCTCTCCTCCAAATTCCAACTGCCATCTCACCTCTCTCTCACCCAAATCCACTTTTCCTCATTTCCCTTCAGAAAAGAATAGGCCTCCCAGGGATATCAACCAAACATGGATTATGTTAAAATAAGACTAGGCTTAACCCTTCATATTAAGATTGGATACGCCAACCTAGTAGGAGGAAAAGGGTCCCAAAAGCAGGCGAAAGAATCAGAGACAGCCCCTCCTCCCACTATTAGTAGTTCCACGAGAACAGCAAGCTACACAACCATAACATATGCCTGATACTGGTTATGCTACGCTCTGATCTACCACTATAGCAGATTGATCATTAGGAATCATTTCATTGATATTTTTTTTTTCTGTTCATGTTTG